CCCTGGCTGGGAAGTCTGGGCCTCGGCCGCAGGGAACGAGAGGCGACAGTGCACGCTCGGTTCCTTGCCGCCGAGTCGGTCGAGGACGCTTCGGCGAACAGTCTCAGGTTGTTCTCGGTGAGTAGATTCTGGCCGAGAAGCTGAGCTGCTGCTCTTATGCGTTTCTGGTCGGGAGGATGAGGATCCTTTGAAAAATTGAGGGTTCTTTTTCCTCTCTTTTTCAGTTTTCCAGGTATCCTCTTCCCACTCTTCCAGTTCCCGGGAGGAAGGAAGCTTCCCACCATCATGGTCTAGCTTCCTCCGTTGATGCCGGGTATGCGGAGGAGTTCGATCACGAGGTGGTGGCATATTTTGTGCCCTCATTGCCTCCATGAGCACTGCCAGCGCTCTTGCCACCTCCTCCGAGCTGGGCCCCGTCAAAGGGGTCCTCGGCCAAGTATGGGAATGAGAGCGCACAGTCGATGGTTGGCTTTGGGGCACTGAATGTGTCCTATGATCGGACTCACCCCTGCTAGACCGAGAGTGACTCGGCCTATGATGAGAGTTATGAATTACGGGAGAAAAGGAATCCTCCCTGTATGATCCTCCCCCCGAGCTGGCACCCTTGGGAGAGTTCCGGTCCGGCGAGGGTGATGGTGTAGGGGTTTTAGGCTTTTCGCCTGCTCCTTGACGGAGGCCTTTGCTCTTGCGGTTCTTAGCCATTGCTACTAAGATAATTGCAAGATGATCTTGGTTAGAAATTTGGCTTAAAGATTTTTGAAATTCCTCCCCACAAACGGCGCCAAATTGTTTCGGGTGAAAAAAATGGGACCTTGTCGAAGGTCCGATGAAGTGGAGAAGACTGGATTCGGTCCAAGTGATGTTGGGCCGAAGGTTTCCTGCACAGTAAACACACGTAAACTAGCCTCGGGGGTGTTGCCGAGGAAGGCCCCTCCGATGCTAAAGTCAGTACAGTGTGTAGAAAGAGAACACTATGCAAGAGAATTAATTGCTTGAGGCTTTTCTTGAATGAATGTACAAATGTAATATTGATGGCTTTTATACCTTTGCATATATGGAGAAGTTGGGCCTTAGCCCAATTGGCTTGCCTTGAGGACTGATCTTTGACTTTAGCACAATTGGAGAGATGAACCTTGACCTTGGGCTTTTAATTGGATCATTTAATGCCTAGGCCCAATTGGACTAAATTGAACCCAAACATAAATTATAATTTTATATATCATATAATTGTGTTGGTTCGTTCAACTTATTCTATTTTTCTTATTTCTTACGCACCTATGTCAAATCAGATTACATTTTGACCATAGAATACAATTAATTTTGCCTACAAAAGTTAGCTTCATCATGGATTTTCGGGTGAAAACTTGTGTTCCTGAGGCTTTATTTTGTACGGATACAAAAATAGTTGCGTTGGAATATCTGAGGAGTTTGGTAGTCATTAAATTAAACATTTGTGCCGTAATGATAATGATTTTGTGCATAATTTGTAGGAAAACTTAAAGTTTATTCTAGCTCATGTTAAATTGCTACTACAGATTTTGTATAAACCCAGTCTTGGTGGTCTACAATAAATTATTATAAGTAGTAGATTTAATATTTAGCACTCTTAAATAATATAATCATATTTTGAATAATATAATCATTTTTTAGATGATATAATTATCTATTATGAGTCATATATTAAATGATATAGTCGTATTTTAAACAACTAGTCAAATGATATAATTATCTTTTGGATGATATAATATAATTACTGTTTGATACCTTTTTAATGATAAATTCACCTTTTGAATGATACATTTACATAATCAGTTTCTAGATGTTATCACTTTTAAAATGATATAATCACATTTTGCATGATATAATCGCATTTTATATGATATACAATTATATCGAAAATATTTATTTAAGTACTTATTTGGCCTCGTCAATAATTTTATTTTATTTTATTTTTTTTACTCTTAAGAATAGTGTGTGAACATTAATACTCCTAAAAATATTTGCTTATATGTTTTCCTTCATTAATATTACCAACAACTAAAAGGGCTCTCTATGGCAATCCCTACATTAATGTTTGTTTACCTACATGACTAGATATGACACGCACTTTGATCAAATGTGACACACAAGTCTTTTAGGGTTGTAGCTATCCATTTGTGTATGCTCTAAATTGTGACATTAATTATTTGCAATTGCAAATTAGCAATGGTAAATGTAGTCATTAGAGTTGTCAAGGTTACTTTTTAAATAGCTAGTGAGGAAAAATTGACAATATACAAATGCTAATTGATTAATAAAGTATCTATCAAAAAAATGCGAATACTATACAGTTTTACATTATGCCAAAACAGAGCCTAACTCTTTTACCAGGAAAATAAAGAGCTTAATAGCTCAGTTAAGTTTAGGGTCCGTTTGGTTCGCACGAGGGAATCGGAATGAAATGGAATGGAAATACCTAGGGGGGTGGGGAATGAAGTTAGAGGGATTTGGGGGAATGAAGGGGGTAAAGGGAATGGGAAAAATGTGCTAACAAACAACAACAAAGGGAATGGGGAATGGGGGCAGTTGATTCCCATTTTCTTTGATGATTAACCCCAACCAAACGACCCCTTAATATTATGCCAAAACAAATAGTTATAGAAAACGCGTTGAAGGTTTTGTATCAAAAAACAGGTGTCAAAATCAAATAAAAATAAAACTGGTCAAAAATACAGGGACATACCTAAAAGTATTTGTTTAACTAAATTTGGCTTATTCACTCCATTAGAAACTTCCACGTCTTCATAAACCTCGTTCATTTTATATACAAGAGGACCTTCTTGTTTGAACCATAAATTAATATTATCTTTTCATTAACTTTGAAGTACTAATAATTTTGTTTTAGTAATATTTTTTTTTTTTTTAACAATTTTCAATTCTTTTGACCTTCATAATTGTGTTTGACCATTATTATTTTCAATTATGTTAATGAATAAGTTACAAATTTTAACCATAGAAAGCAAATGTAAAAATGTATTAGACATAAAGGGGGTATGTCTATAAAACTAATTTAGTAGAATCATTATATGGTTTGTCAAGGTTAATGTTTCTTAAATTCTTATTTTGATCCAAGTTACTAATAACTAGATGTAAGCCCCTGCAATGCACGGTTCTAGTAAATTATTTTATTTAATTTAAAATTTTGTATATTTATGAAAATCATTCATTAGATATATGGATAACATTCCTAATATCATAAGATAATTTTATAATTTTAACACTAAAGTTATTTGTTATTGTTTTATTTATTTTACGTGGCGCTTTGAATTTAAAATATTAAACCTTATTAATTAATTTTGCTTATGTGACAATTTAAATTTTTAATTAAAAAAATGACAAATCTTGTTTTTTTTATGAGGATGACCCAGTTTGTCATGGTGAGAAACAAATGTCATTTTCGTAAATAAACCAAAAATTCTATTCAATTTTATTCAACTGTGGAGCCCACAATAATGAAAAAGTTGTTGATTTATTCCCGAAAATTCCCCCATGAGAAATGAATTTCATTTCTCACCATGAGAAACAGGGAATTTTCCATTTTTTATTGATTAAAATAAATCTTTTTCCTATGAGATTTTTTTTAATATACTCCTTATGTTTGAAATGATAGTCTAATTTATAATCTTTTAGCTATTTAAAATTATGGGGAATTATATAGATTTAGATTTATTCGTCTCGATTAGTACATTATTAAAATCAAACTTTTATAATATTTGAGGGATTAAAGATATTTGCGATCAAAAATTTGGATCCATATATGTAAAAAAAGATAATTATTACTTAGTTTTTTTTTTTTTTTTTTTTTTAAAGAAGATAATCATTTTCTTTTTTTTATTTTAATAATATAAATTTTAATTATTCACTATTTATTGTTTTTAACTATATATGTGTCAAAATTCTTAAATCTTATTTGTCACTTTTGCTTAGGTGGCGAGTAAATTTTTTAATTCTAAAATAAATTATTAATCTAATTTTTCATTGGACAAAATAATACCTTTTCTGATGTGGTGAGCCGAATGCTCTCGAAATATGCCTACTTTATTTATATAATATTAGATTAGTAGAATTCTATCTGTTTTATAAGTTAAGTTAGATTAAACTAGTCTTTTTAGTCAAAAATAAAATAAAATTAAACTAGTCTTTATAATGCTTGATGGACCATTCTATAATCTCGAATTCAAAACGTTACAAATTATTTTCAGCTACACAAATAACACAATAACATAAATTGATAAAACAACACTTCCAAGGTTCCACTAGGTTTAGCATTGAAGATGTTCAATGAAAGGGATTTTTCAAGAAAAAGCATAATTACAAACCAATTCCAAGTAAAGATTGCATGCAAGGATTGAAAAAGGAAGTAAAGTGTTCCGAGGAATAATTTCCATCTTTAAAAAACAAAAACATTTTGGAATCTTAATAAGTTCTCATTTCCATCTTAAGAAGACTATTTTTGATCCCTTTACAAACCAAACAAATTTTTTAAAAAAGAAGGTAAAAATATTTCCTCATAATATTATTTTACCTTAAACCAAACAACTCTCCAAAATAAATTGTAACATAATCATACACACACGGAGAGTCAACAAACGATTCATTTTGCAGATTTAGGATATTATTTGCTTATACTTTGTATCCATATCGTACTAGGTTTGACTTTTTTTTTCTCCTAACTCCATCTCAGTTTACAATTCCCGTTTGTGTTTTTCACAATATTTATGAAATGGGAAGAGAAAGTGAATGAAGTATATTAAAAAACGCGCAAAGTACAATTATAGACAAAAGTTAAAAAGAGAAAGTGGAAAAAGTACAAGGCAAGTGAAAATTTCAAGAACAATTACAAACTATTCAAAAATGGAAACAAGAACAAGATTTTAGGTCTACAAAATAGAAAACACATAAACTATATTACGGAGTATTATAATATGAGATGAAGGAAGTATGTTTGACCATATTCCGGAATCGAGTTCATTGTGAATCTATGAGTTGCCATACACATTACATTTACACCTAGTAGTAGAGGAAAAGTAAGAAAAGGTAAAGAGTGCAAAGAAGAGCAATAGAAGTCTACTTTTATAAAAAGAGGAGGCGGGACGAAGAGTTGGACACTATAAGAACAAACTATAGCTGGACTTTTACTCATTTGTCTCCGCCACCCATATTTCCAATTTTTTTTCTTAAAAGAGAGAAAAAAATATTTAGAAAATTCTTATCAAGCGTTTGGATTTGACGAAATATTTTTCTCAAATTTCACGAAATCTTCTCTCTTTAATCAACCAAAAACCTACATCCCAGAAATATATTTATTTAACAAAATTTATTAAATTAAAATTAGGGGTTGTTCTTATTTTTTGTTTATTGTATTTTCTCCTTATTTTTCTCTCACCCCCTTCGAATAAGGAGAAAATAAAAACTGAAGAAAAGAGAGGAGAAACTACGAGGAACAAAGCGCACAATATTGGAGAGAGAAAATAAGAAATAAAGTCACCGATTGAAGTATATATCCAGGTGTTTTTTCTATTTCTTTTTTTATGAATTTTGATTTTTATGGTGTTTGATCTAATGGGTATTGATTGTTTTTTGATTTGGTTTGTTTATTGGGGTTGAATTTGTAATGCAATGCTGAAATGGGTTTTTGTTCTTGAGTTTTTTTGTGCATTTTTTTGGGTGATTTGAGGTCAGATCTGAATTGGGTTTCTGAAAAATATTTGATTTTTTTCTGGGGTTATATTGTTTTTAATTCAATGATTTGCTTGCTTACATTTGGCCGAATGTTTTTGCTGTTTTTTCTGTATGATTCCAACTACCAATTAAAATAAAATTTTCTGGAAGAGATCAATTTTATAGGCACCTTCAGTTTTCATATATTTGTTGAGAATCATATTTCTCTAATTGTCAATGTTTAGGTAAATGCATAGAGTTCTGAAAGCATATTATATTGGTGTATTTTTGGGTGAATGTTTATGATTATATGGTGGTCCAATTATGTTGTAGGTTCTTTCTTTGTATAACATCTAATTGCTCTTTGTTTACATTTTTATGTTACATAAATATGTTTGGAATGTCTAATATTTGCCTTGTTGATTGGATTCAGGGTTCATGTGTGCAAACTCTGTGATGTTTCCTGATACAGTACAGTGATTCTTTTGGTTTTGATTCCTTGCAATTATCAACGTTGTTGATTGGAAAGTTTTTGATTTTGTGGTGTGGGGTTGTTTAAAAGGATTTATTGATCTGTTGGTGTTTAATTTGAGCTAGTAATCATGGTTGCCACGGCTGCAACTTCTGCTTTCTTACCTGTTGCTCCCTTACCTCCTGACTCGAATTCGAAATCCTCCTCGTCAAAACTTGGTTCCTCGAATTTAGATACCAGTGGTATCAAGCCAAAATCTGGCTCATCTCGCGGTTTGAAAGTGAAAACCAATGCACAAGCTCCCCCGAAGATGATCAATGGCTCTTCGGTTGGTTATTCTTCAACTAAGGAAGGGTTGAAGAGTGGGGAAGAAACCTCTTCTTCACCCCAGAGGACTTTTATCAATCAATTGCCTGATTGGAGCATGCTTCTTGCTGCTATTACTACAATGTTTTTGGCTGCTGAGAAGCAGTGGATGATGCTTGACTGGAAAACAAAGCGTCCGGACGTGCTTGGTGACCCTTTTGGCTTGGGAAGGATGGTTCAAGATGGGTTTGTCTTCAGACAGAACTTCTCTATTAGGTCGTATGAGATAGGGGCGGATAGAACGGCCTCTATAGACACATTAATGAATCATCTGCAGGTATTGTTCCGAACTTTTAAGGATGTTTGTGAGATGTTGAACTTTCCTACTCGATACTCTTATGGAGTTTGTTTTACCAAGTTTCCAACTTATTTTGTGGGCTATATTTTCGCAGGAAACAGCACTCAATCATGTGAAATCAGCAGGGCTTTGGGGTGATGGCTTTGGTGCAACCCCAGAAATGTGCAAAAAAAATTTAATTTGGGTGGTTACTAGAATGCAGGTTCTTGTGGATCGTTATCCAACTTGGTAAGTAACACAAGTATTGGTTTATTTTCACATATATATGGCAGAATAGGATGAAGATTTTGGACAGTGTTCAATACAAAGTATATGCTAAGAGATGATGCCCCTATAGTTTTTTGGTCCAAGTATTGTATGCTTTTCTATCTTGTCAATTCATAAGGATGCATGCTTCTGATTTGTGTGACTGGAATGCACCATGGTAACATGGCTTAAAAACAGAAATTTGCTTGAATATAAATTTTTTTTATGTTTCACCTGTTTTATTTCTGCAGGGGAGATGTTGTTCAAGTTGATACCTGGGTTAGTTCATCTGGAAAGAATGGTATGCGTCGTGACTGGCTGTTTAGAGACTGTAGGACGGGTGAAATTCTCACTAGAGCTTCAAGGTTAGCAATAATACTTTGAATTTTTTTCCAGTTCCCCTTTTGTTCTCTTTTTAACACTGTGAAAAAAGTTCTATAAGTATTCTGTTCTTATTTATATATTCTATATTTATAATAATTTAATTAGCCGTACCATCTAGCTTTATTTGGTTAGCTTGTACAGTAATAGTTATGGAAACCAATTATGATTCTCCTTGTTAAGGGTGCTGAAACTCTGATTAAGTGGGATTGAGAAGGTCGATGTACCTCTGTACCTCACTCTTGCCAAAAATCATTATTAACATGAAAAATGTCTTCTGCTATGGAAGATTTATAGGTGTTTGTTATATGAGGTAACTAACAAAACCAGTTATGAATTTACAGTGTCTGGGTGATGATGAATAAAGATACAAGGAGGTTGTCAAAAATGCCAGATGAAGTGCGTGCTGAAATTGGGCCCTACTTTGTGGATACTCCTCCTGTCATCGCGGAGGATGGGAGGAAGCTTCAAAAACTTGACGACAACTCTGCTGAACACATCCGTACTGGTCTTACTGTAAGTTACTCTTTCAGTACTCTGTTTTGGTCATGGACAGTTGCCTTAGGATGATGGTTGATTGGTGACTCACCGAATTTTAATCATGTAAAATTTTCTGGCCATGGGTTTTTATGACGGTTTAATTGACATTTTGCAGCCTAGATGGAATGATTTGGATGTCAATCAGCATGTCAACAATGTTAAGTACATTGGCTGGATTCTTGAGGTATCATCTTTTATCTACCTTAATATACCAAGTATGTTTTTTACATGATGGGTTGCATAATCTGTAAATAATTGTCTCAAAAATGTTCATTTTCTTGGCTTGGTTTCTCTTCAGCGTCCTTGTCTGATCTGTTTACTGCCCTAACATTGGCTTTTTTTGTTTGAAGCTCCCAAACTATCGACCATTGTGTTAGTCGAAATAGTCTGAGTTAGATCGTGCTTACAAAGTCTCAAATAACCCTGTCTTCAATTACATGTACTTCGTAATTTCGTATTAAGCTAGAGGGATCACAAATCTTAGCTTGTTAGATCCATCTACTGTGTTCTGTGTGGATAAGCCTCTGTAGAGACTGGTAATGGTGCCGTTGGGCTAACTTAACGAAAAGAGATTTAAAATAAAGAACATTAAAAATTTTGTCCCTAAGCAAAGTATTAGTATTCTAGCTAAAGCTCTAAAAGTTGTAATAGTCTCGAGATGTTTCCAGGGATAAGTTCAATATTAAAAATTTCTGTGATTGGTTTTGTCTTGAAATAATTGCTGCTGTGTAAATAGTATTGTTAATTCCCTGCCTTTGGTTTCAAAACAAAATCTTGGAAAACAAAACGTTGTTTGTTTCCTTTATGGTTGGTTCATGGATAAGCATTAAAAACATTTCCAAAATGGTCTGATCTCATTGCAACTCTTTTTCTTGATATGCTATGCTACTTTGTAAAATGTTTCCTTTTGAGAATTATACTTCGTATGTTTTTTTTTTGGAAAGTTTATTTGTTTCTTGAGAATTATATGTTAACGATAAGCATTTGTTGGATGGCAGAGTGCTCCACAATCAATACTGGAGACCCATGAACTCTCAGGGATGACTTTGGAGTACAGGAGGGAGTGTGGAAAGAACAATGTGATATCCTCGCTCACTTCTGTCTCTGGTGCTAGTGTTGGAGGACTCCAAGATTCTGGGAATGTAGAGTGCCAGCATTTGCTGCGACTTGAGGACGGATCCGAGGTTGTAAGGGGAAGAACTGAGTGGAGGCCCAAGCATGCTAAGAACTTTGGCATGTTGGATCAAGCTCCAGTAGAGAGCACCTAGTGGCCGCGAACATCCCTCTCCCATATTCTTGTGCAAATTTCAAATCTTGGCCCTGGAATCTCAAATGCTTTTACTTCCCCTTTTCTTCTTTCCTTTTACCCTTTTTTTTTTCCTTTTCCTTTTCCCCTATATATGTTTTTAATTTGCGCCGATGTGCTAAATGATTCTACAAAAACCCCCCATGTAATTATCCTATGATATGTATCTTCTACCTCCCCCCTTCTTCCTCATCTTAATGATCATGGTAGGACAATGATAAGAAATTAGGGATATGTTTTGTTCTTTAATTCTTTTTGAATGGTTGTTATGGTGAGTTTCTTATTCAGAGCAGATACCTATTCACTTAATTCTTTTTTTTAATTTATAGTTGATTCCAATTTGCAAGAAATGACAAATCAGATATTCCCTCTATTTAAAATAAAAATGCTTCTAACTTTATTTTATCTGATTTTTGTTAATCGATCTAAAATAAATTCTGTGGGACAAATCGTGAGAAGTATAGTTGCTTTTTGTCTTGTTACATGCTCTGCTGTATTTGTCACTAAGTGAAACTCCATTGATTTTATTTTCCTTTGAAAATAGAACATGGCTGATGTGGTGTTACCGATCTTACCATCTAACATAACATCAAGGCGTGTGTGACACGTGTTGTATACTCCAATCAATAATTGTCCTCAATCTATCTTTGTACCTTATAGTTAGCTAGATTGGAACATAAATTCAACAGTAGTTACATTTACACTATATGATTGAGTAAAACTTCAATTTGGTCCCCAATTTTGTTGCCTGGAAAAAGAAAAGCGTTCTAAATTCCTGGATTTCACGTGCAATTTTTACTGTATAGGTCCATATTTTGAAGTAAAAGCTGGCATATTTGAAACATTTTTGGTCCCTCCTATTTTTGGCTCATGCTATAATTTGAAGGAATTTTGTTAAAAAAAAAAAAAAAAAAAAAAAAGAGAATCCAAAATGACAGAATATTTTGGTGGGCCCTGGGCTTCTTTTAAGGTCTCAGTTAAGTATTGCACTAGATACTATTGGGCTGGGCTGTCAGTGTTTGGCCAGCTGTTTTGTTTCTGTAACCACCTAATTGTGAACGACTTATAGTATATTAAAATTGAAAGTGATTAGTACTAAGAAATATTCAACCTCAAAATTAAGAGGCATGAGAAATGGTACTACTACTTGTTAACTAGTCTAAAAATCGAATCGGCCTAATTATCCAAAATTTAAAATTCAACATTTGGAGAGAGTACCATTTATATTAGGATCTGGCTAGACTGAAAACCGAATATTTAAATACTCGCATTATTTAAGGTGACAAAGGTCACTTTGTAATAGATGTTAAGGAATAATAGAGTATATAGATGAACTAATTTGGCCTAATATAAGTCATGATTTGATAATGAAGACAAAACAAAACATGATGTTCATTAACATGATTTAATTAGCTTCTTTTTATGATTCACATAATCTCCTTTTCTCTCAATTAAATAGACAAAAAAACATACATTGCATAACTTTAAACATTTTTCGTTCTCTCCAAAGTAAATTAACTTTGGATGAATCAAATTAATTCTAGAAGTGTCGGTAATTATGTGGAATACAAGTCAATGAAATATATTCTTCCTAGTACAGATTTGATTTTTTTAATTAGTTAATTACATATTATTGATGAAAGAGCATGTGCCTTCCAGATTGTTTGTAGAATTGTAGCCACATAATTAAAAGTAGATAAGGTGGTAACACTTTTTAAACATTCTGTCATTTTCCTTTTTCATTTTATATTAATTTCATAAATATACTTGTTTAACTTAGCTTAAAGAATCGTGTTGGTGATTTTCCATTTCTCTAAGTAGGATCTATTGCGCAATTACTTCTTTTGGGTTGAAAGAACCAAAACTTTTAGTTAATGTCTGGTTAATTAAGATAAATTTGGTCTGCCCCGATTCCTATGTCAGAATAGACTCAACTAATTATGGCAAACTAACTAGAGTTGTTAAAAGTTGACCCGACTCGAAATACCGACTCAAACCCGATTATTAATCGACCCATCTAAATCCAAAAAAATAGTGACCCAAACCCGACCTGAAACCAACCCTAGACCCGAGTATATGAGACCCGAACCCGAACATGAACTGGCCTGGAGATGACCCGACCAAAATGTAACCCGTAAATTATTGACCTGAACGGCTGAACCGAACCCGACTTGAACCGAAATTGACCCAAACTCGTTTTAACCCGCCAAAACCCGAATTTAACTCGACTTGTTACTAACCCCACTCGTCCCTAACCCGACACGAATTTAACTCAACCTGTTACAAACCCGACCAGAATCAACCTGACTTGTTATTGACCCGACCTGAATTTTACCAGACTTATTACTAACCCGACCTTGAAATTCAACCCGATCTGTTACTAAACCAACTCGAAATCAACATGACTTGTCATTGACCCGACTTAAATTCAACCCAAATTGTTCCTGACTCGATTTCAAATCACCTTAAATGCAATTTAGACCATCTTATTATTGTTGATCAAAAATTTTTGTCTAGGGAGATCAAGTCGGTCTAGGACAACAAAAGAAAGGAGCATCATCCTCACATTTAAGAGTTAAATATAGTATATATCTGTTGTATGGTCAAAGGAAATAATTATCATCCTAAATTATAGACTATAGTTCCCTAGTATATTACCATATATATTATAGTCAAAGGAAATAATTAGGTGGGTGGAACCATCCAATTTGCATGTAAACGACCAATTTCCCAATTTAAAACTTGCACTGATTTCATTAACTCAAGCCTTTCACGAACATTTATGACAACATATAATGATCAGATATGGTTCCAAACGGCATTATATGACCCCGAGATGTATCCCCTAAAATCTTAAGGTTGTTCGATAACGGGTCCGAAACCTTCAAAATTACTCAAAAAGCGTGGATATTAGCCTTCAATTTTGGATTTTTTGACTTTTTAACGCCCAGAAAAAAAATTGCCGAAATGTTTACCATGGTCCTTACTACCCTCCAGGAGTCCAATTAGGTGGGTGGAACCATCCAATTTGCCTTTAAACGACCAATTTACCGGTTTACAACTTGCACCGATTTCATTAACAAAAGCCTACCACGAACATTTATGACAACAAATAATGATTACATATGGTTTTAAACGACACCATATGACCCCGGGATGTATTTCCAAGAATTTCGGGACTTTTAGCGCCGGGCTCCGATGACTCCAAAATTTCTCAAAAAGGTGGATATTAGTCTTCAATTTTTGATTTTTTTGACTTTTTTTTCGCCTGAAAATAAAATTGCCGAAATGTTTATCCTGGTCCCTAATACCATCCGGAAGTCCAATTGGGTGGATGAAATCATCCAATTTGCCTTTAAACGGCCAATTTACCGGTTTACAACATGCACCGATTTCATTAACTCAAGTCTACCACGAACATTTATGACAACATATAATGATTATATATGATTGCAAACGGCATTATATGACCCTGAGATGAAACCCTTAAATTTTCGAGTCTTTTCGACACCGGGCCTCGAAATCTCCAAAATTTCTCAAAAATAGTGGATATTAGCCTTTAATTTTGAAAATTTTCAACTTTTTTTCGCTCAAGAATTAAAAATAACTGAAATGTTTACCATGGTCACTAATATCCTCCGGGAGTTCAATTGGGTGGGTGGAACCATCCAATTTGCCTTTAAAGGGCCAATTTACCGACTTACAACTTGCACCAATTTCACTAACTCAATTCTACCACGAACATTTATGACGACATATAATGATCACGTATGTTTCCAAACGTCATTATATGACCCCGAGATGTATTCCCTAAAATTTCAAAACTTTTCAACACAGTGCCCCAAAGCCTCCAAACTTTCTCAAAAAGCGTGGATATAAGCCTTCAATTTTGGAATTTTTTGACTTTTTTTTACCGCATATAAAAATTGCCGAAATTTTTACCATGATTTCTAATACCCTCCGGAAGTCCAATTGGATGAGTTGAACTATCCAATTTTCCTTTAAACGACCAAATTACCGGTTTACAACTTACACCGATTTCATTAAATCAAGCCTACCACGAACATTTATGACAAGATATAATGATCATAAATGGTTCCAAACGGCATTATATGACCCCGAGATGTATCCCCTAAATTTTCAAGGCTTTTCGACACCGGGCCTCGATACCTCCAAAATTTCTTAAAAAGCGTGGATATTAGCCTTTAATTTTGGAATTTTCTGACTTTTTTCGCCCGGAAATAAAAATTACCAAAATTTTTACCACGGTCCCTAATACCTTCCAAGAATCCAATTGGGTGGGTGAAACCATCCAATTTGCCTTTAAAAGGCCAATTTACCGGTTTACAACTTGCCCCGATTTCATTATTTCAAGCCTACCACGAACATCTATGACAACATATAATGATCATATATGGTTCCAAACTTCATTATATTACCCCCAAATGTATTCCCTAAAATCGCAAAATTTTCGACACCGGACCCTGAAACCTCCAAAATTTCTCAAAAAGCATGGACATTAGCCTTCAATTTTGGGAATTTTTTGACATTTTTTCGCCCGAAAATTAAAATTTCCGAAATGTTTACCATGGTCCTTAATACCCTCCGCTAGTCCATTTGGGTGGGTGGAACCATCCATTTTGCCTTTAAACGGTTAATTTATCGGTTTACAACTTACACCAATTTCATTAACTCAAGCCTACCACGAACATTTATTACAATAAATAATGATCATATATGGTTTCAAAGGACATTATATGACCCTGAAATGTATACCCTAGAATCTCAAGGATTTTCGATATCGGGCCCCGAAAGCTCCAAAATTTCTCAAAAAGTGTGGATATTAGCCTTTATTTTTGGAATTTTTAGACTTTTTTGTCCGGAAATAAAAATTGTCGAAATGTTTACCATGGTCCCTAATATCCTCCGGGAGTCCAATTGGGTGGGTGGAACCATCTAATTTGTCTTTAAAAGAACAATTTACTGGTTTACAACTTGCACCGAGTTCATTAACTCAAGACTACCACGAACATTTATGACAACAAATAATGATCACATATGGTTCCAAATGACATTATATGACCCCGAGATGTATTCCCTAGAATTTCGAGAATTTTATACACCTAGCCCCGAAGACTCCAAAATTTCTCTAAAAGGTGGATATTAGCGTTCATTTTTTGACTTTTTTCGCTCGAAAATAAAAATTGCCGAAATGATTATCATGGTCCCTAATGCCTTCCGGGGGTCCAATTGGGTAGGTGGAACCATCCAATTTGCCTTTAAACGACCAATTTACCAGTTTACTACTC